CTAATGCCACGGTTAGATGGTGTGTTTATTTTTTAATAACAATTGCTCATTATTTATTCTATTCTATTATTGCAGATTTTTCTATACAAGCATTGAAGATCAAATGATGAGGATTGGTTTTGGATCAATGTAATAAACTAATAAATAATGGATATCTTGAATCCTTGATACTTTTTGCTTAGTTTAACTTTATGGATTAAAAGTAGTATGATTCCAGCATTGTTTGGTCATTGTGATGTCAAAGTACCTTTAATGTTCTTGAATAATTTAATTATACATTTTAATAAAAAACCATTTGTTCTTTCCAAGTGATTAGTTTTGTATAATCTCTTATGAAATTAATAGGTGCAATATTAATATTCATTGAATTTGGTGCTATTAGAAAGGAAATTGAAGTTGAGTATCTTGCGACGCTAATTGTGTGCCTTGATAGGTTGATGAAAAGTGCCTCAACTATAGCAACGCTTTTAGAATTATATACCGACGCTAACACTTAGCATCGTAAAAAGGGCTAGCGACACAAGCAAAGCCAGCGCTTTTACAAGTGTCGGTAAAAGCACTAGCGACGCTTTTTAGCGTCGCGGTAGGTTTATATAAAGCGCCTTGAGAACCCATTTCTCTTCTAGTGCCGGTTGAGTTTTTAGCTGAAATTTGGTATGGGTAAACTAGACTTAATGAGGAAGATGCTCAAAAAATTTTATCAAAAAATTCCATCGGGAACCGCCCCAAATGACGTCGGCCAGACAGAGCATCCGAAATATGACCTTATTTGACATTTTTTTTCGAGTTCGAGGCCCTATCTGACCCTTATCCCTTTTATATATATATGTATACTCCGTGCATCATACTCCATTACTCCGTACTACGCATTAATCCGTAGAAAATTCAAAAAAGGTAGAGGCAGTTAATTTATGAGAAGGTAGGGGAAGGAAGCATTGACAAATGTTTACGCCCCAAAATTTTAGGGGCCTCTAATTTTTGAAATAATTAAGCGTTATTACGAAAGTATATTCAGTTTTAATTGTACATGTTTAATTAAATATTTTAATATTTAATTTTCTAATATTACAAGTATTTTAATATATTGAATTGTAATTTTTTATTTTAATTGATTGATATATTGTAGACTTATATTCTTTTACATGCAATTAAAATATTAGATTGAATTTGTATTTATAAATCATTAACTTATTTAGTATTCCATATTTTTAATAAAATTGTATGGAGTAGGATTTATGATGACGGAAAAATGAAAGCATGTTCGGATATACTAAGCAAAAGAACAAATTAAGAAAGGATTTGATTATAAAATCGTTTGCCGACTCTATGGATTGATAATTGGCACATAATCACAAAACTTTCTCCATCAAATATTGTTGAGAATGAGGGTACAAATGTCATGTTTGAGAATTAGTGTGAAATGCATGTATTTTTGATCAATTTTGAATCTTTGCTTTAGAAGAATATTCTCATCACATCAATAGTATATATCTACTTACTTAATAATAAAGTAGAACCTTGCAATTGAAATTGAATTCTCAAAATATTTGCTATTGAGTCCAATTAAGAAATTTAATTTTGCTATTGAGTACACTAATTGAAGTCCGTATTTACAAAATTTAGATATTACCCTTGGCCAGTTAATTGATTCTCAACTCTCAAGGCACGTGATATTTTACATTCTATATTTTGAATTTTGAATATTTTACCCATAATTAATCAATAATTAAAGTATCAAAGAAAGAAAAGAAATAAATATGAGTAATTGATATTGATATGAAATACACATATAAGATTGATCATACGTATACTAGATTCCACATTTGAATGTATGAATATCAATTAGAACTATGAATAATAGATTGACTAGGCATGAATGTATGATTCGTTCATGATCCTTATTTTCCAGAATTTCCAGAAATGTTTTGAAGAACTGGTACATTCATCCTCTTTATAGGTATCCAGAATTTCCAGAGCTATTTTGAACAACTGGTACGTTCATCCTCTATCTTCCAGGACCTGCCCGCTTTCAAATACATTGATAAAGTACAAGTTATAAATTAAATTTCAAATTCAACTTTTGTCAACCAATTCTTATTACGTAAATTGTTCTCCAATATTGTTATTACAGTGCTTCTCCAATATAAATTCAAATCATATTAGGCAAGGCATACATTCATCAATGGTGTGTGAACTATAAGGGTTCAAAATTTTCAAATTTTAATCAGGATTTATATTAGCATGGTCTCATACTCTCATTCCCAAAACTCTAAGAGCTAGATAGTCAACTTAGAATTTCAGTTTGGAAGAAAACTCATCCCCACCCTCTCAGGTTAAATATCGACGCAACTTTCTTTAACGGAAGGAACACCAGAAATTAAAGTCAATATTGACTAATTTAGACGTTTTGCAACATTTATATATCAGTGTTGCATAATGTTAACACTTGCTACTTTATGTAACAAAAAATAAGTATTATAAAGAAAATGTTACAAAAACCAATTTTTTTTTGTAGTGCAAACAACATGTTTTAGAATTATTTTAATCATATCTACTTCTTTAATAATAAATTACAATTTTATAATTGAAATTGAATTCTCAATTAATTGCTATTGAGTCCAAATATTGAATAGTCATTAATTACAAGTAAGTCCTAAATTCATAATATTTACATATATTGTGGAGTATCAATATTTTAAATAAACTACAAAGAATATAATCATTCCATTTAGAGAGAATATGTATATTTAAAATATTTTGGTAATATTGAGTTCCATTTCGTATTTTTGAAAGTTTTATTGAGTTGATTCTAGAAAACCATGTATAAATTAAAAAAATTCATTCGCTTTTTGTAAATACTTTGTATATTTTGTTCCATGATATTCATATATTTTGTATAATTTGAAATGATTTTATATATTTCATATTGCATTCAATTTATATATTAATACTATATTTCAAACCCATGTGATGCATGAATGACCTATAATACGTGAGAAATATTAGTTCAATTCTAATAAGCCCTTATAACTTTTATTGAAAAAGTAACTTAACTAAATTTATTTCATATTTGTACATATTTATTCATATGCACGATATATTTTTTTATGGGGGTTTTAATTCCTTGAATATATTACTAATAAAAAAATTATGAACAAAAATATTAGGAAAAAGGGTCAAATAAGCACGCGTACTATTGTTCAACCGTCACATAAGCCCGTGAACTAAAAAAGAGTCATATAGATACACTTAGAAGTTGTTCTCTTCGCCTGATCTGAATGTTTCTGATCTGAATTTTTTAAGTTCTGATCTGATCTGATCTGAATTTTTCTGATCTGATCTTATCTGATCTGAATCTGTCTGATCTGATCTGATCTGATCTGAATCTTTCTGATCTGATCTGATCTGATCTGAATCTTTCTGATCTGATCTGAATGTTTCTGATCTGGTCTGATCTGATCTGAATGTTTCTGATCTGATCTGAATCCTTCTGATCTGATCTGAATCTTTCTGATCTGATCTGATTCGAATATTTCTATGATTATAATTATAATTATAATTATAATTATAATTATTATAATTGCAATTACAAATATAATTTAAATAAAATTATAATTATAATTGTAATTATAATTACAATATTTATCTCTATAATTGTAACTATAGTTATCAATATTATTATAATTACTCCGTAAAATAATTACAATAGTAATAATAATAATAATAATAATATTAATAATTATAATAAAAATAATAATTATAATCATAAATTATAGTTATAATATAATTATAAGTATAATTATAATTATTATAATTATAATTAATAATAATTATAATCATATTAACATTAATTATAATATTATAATTTAATAATAGTAATATAAATACAATTAATATTATTATAACGATATTATTATATTAATATTATTATTACAATAATATAATAATATTATTATTACAATAATATAATAATAATATGATGATTATTATAATTAGTATTATATTATTATAATATTATATTATAATTATAATTATAATTATAATCATAATTATAATTATGATTGTAATTATAATTATAATTATTATAATTAATTAAAATTATATTTATAATTAATTATAGATATAATTATAATAATTACAATTGATTATACTTATAATTATAAGAATTATAATTGTAATTATAATTATAATTACATATAATTATAAAATAATATTATAATAATATTAATCATGTTATTATTATTATTATTATATTGTAATAATAATAATAATAATAATAATAATAATAGTCTTCTTAACAATTGCATTTATATTACTATTATTATATTAAAATATTATAACTATTATTAATATCTTTTTTTATCATATTATTATTAATATTATTAATAATAATTATATAATAATAATCATAATAGTAGTAACAATATTAATAATAATAATTAATATTTAATATAATAATAAAAATGATAAATCATGTTTGAACTTTTCTGATCTGATCTGATCTGAATGTTTCTGATCTGATCAAAATGATTCCGATCTGGTCTGATCTGATCTGAATCTTTCTGATCTGATCTGAATCTTTCTGATCTGATCTGATCTGATCTGAATCTTTCTGATCTGATCTGATCTGATCTGAATCTTTCTGATCTGATCTGATCTGATCTGAATCTTTCTGATCTGATCTGATCTGATCTGAATTTTTCTGATCTGATCTGATTTGATCTGAATAAAATAAGAATAAGCAATAAGTAATAAGAATAAGACGAACAGAACAGCACCTTACTCTCTAAAATCAGGCAAATGGGTCAAATGACCAGTTAATCACATTGAAGTCCCGGTAAAGGATTACGTGTCCTATTTTTTTTACCTAATCTGGCATTTTCTTCCACATCAGCTGGGTTACCTTTAATGGTGGGATTGGTGGCACGATGAAAAAAAAAATCCCAGCCTGTTTAATTGCAGATCGTTTACCTAATTACCTTCATCGCTATTAGGGTTCCGATTTTGAGTAGAGCTTAAAGACATCCATGGGTTTCGAAAGAATCAAAGGGCTTTCACAGGAATATCGTTGCCTCAACTATTGAAGTAATCTCGATGTACTGAGACTGCGTTCAAGTAAGTAATATTGATTGGATATTGTATTGGATTGTTGTTATGAACTCAAAGTTTAGGAAGTTTTTTGGGCTGTTCTTTTCATGGCTGCTATGCTGAGATTTGCTTTCTCTTTTAAGTGACTATTGTTGACTCTCCATGTAACTTTCCTTGTAATTAGAACTTCGAGACTTTTTTGTGAGCTTAACAGGTCAAATTAAAATTTTGATTTGAATTGATTTATTCAATTGACAATCAATTGACAATCAATTCCGTTAGATGACAATCAATTGATTTATGTCCAGCATGGGTAATTCATTTTTAGATAAACAATCAATTCCGTTAGCAATTGGTCAAAAGTAGGTGGAATTTGTACTATTGAAACATATTAAGCGGAATTGTCAAATAGATGTTCCAGTCCAGGGGACAAATCAATAGGAAATGCTATTTGCTTAGTAAGAATAAAAAAGAACTTCTATGAAATGAAAGAGATTCATGGCAGATAACATTGAGAAATAAATAGGAAAAAGTGTTTATAGCAGGCCATATAGTCTATTGTTCTGTGATTGGTTTTTACCAGAAACCCGCGACGTTCAAAATGTACCATCTTAAGAGAGTTTTGAAGATAACAAACTTCATCCAATACTTCATTGAGAGTAGCATTCCATGAAGTTATGTACATGTTGTGGGCTGTTCTACTACCCACATCATTAAGAAACACTAAATTGCAATTTTGAAGTGATTATAGGGACCCTTACATTGACGCACCGTGACAAAGTGCTCGTCACAATGACACTTATAATTTGCAAGAAACCCGGCCATAATAAAGCTGTGTCCAGACAAGTCCACGAACACACCAAGCACATCGACTAGTGCAGCAGCCGAACCTTAAAAAAGAACAAGTAAAGCACAAGTAAAAGAACGTAGTGCTAGACCTCAAAACAAAAGAAAAAAACAAAAGGGATTTGGGATTTATATAGAGCCTGAAACAAGAGAAACAGTGGTAGATGTAAGTGTTTCTTTAATTATAAATTACAAAGTATTAATCAACATCATTGACATGTTTTTTTGTGTAGCCGGGACTTACAAGCGAACACGTACTGTGATCTGGGAAGTACAAGTAGTGAAGATATATTCCTCGGTGTTTTGTTAATAGCCTATTTTGTACTGTCATTAAACTGACAAGTTTGGCATGTTATGAACCCCCTGTGTAATGTTATATTTTGACATGTTTGATATTGTGGGAAGGTTTGAACCTGTTATATGTTCTGGGTTATAATCCCATGTTTTGAAGGATCTTTGGGCAGTTTATAAAGAAAAGTTTCCTTGTGGCAGTTTTGAGTTGTTTTGATGTTTATATTGCAATACAAAGAAAGTTAAAAATTCAATCAATAGCTTCCAATATACGGAGTATGAAATTTGACTTGCCATTTTCCTATCTCCTTTGTTCTCATTCAATCTAGTATGTAATTAGGATTTATTGCCGAGTTTTTGTTTACTTCACTACTGACTACTGTCGTATGTGGACATGGTGGACGTTATTGATGCAGTCCCCCTGAATGAGCGTCCTGCTGATTATGATTCTGGAGAGGAAGCCGAATCCGGTTCTGATATGGAGGTGTACGATCTGGGCATCCCCACGGATATGGAGCGCCACATCTGCCCGATCAGGAGCGCCCTTGACCACGACCAAGTCCTCTCCCGCGTGGCCCTCAATAAGATCCGTACCTTCCTTCCTCCACCGTTCGTCTGGAGTGTGAGAGGCGCTGAGCATGTGATGAGGAGACGTCCGGGGATGATCATGCTTCACCTGGATTCCGTTGAAGCCAGGCTGCGGTTTCCACTTCATGCGTTCTATGTGGAGTTCTTCCACTGTTTCCAGGTGGCCCCGGCGCAATTCATGCCAAATTCTTATAGATTCATATCGGCCTTCTTGGTGCGCTGCAAACTTGCGGGGGTCGATGCCACTCTGGAGCTCTTCCACTATTTCTACCGCGTCACTCCCCAGAATGCCGACGGGTATCTGAGCGTGGCCGCACGTCCTGGGAGGCGGCTGTTCAAGAGCTACCCCTCGTCCATCCACGACTGGAAGAACCGCTTCTTCTTCCTTCGATACGACGGGCCTCCTCTCCCTCTCCGGTGGAATGGGTATCCCCCAAAGATTGAGTCACCGGAGCCGACCGACGATCTGCTTTTGGATGCGGAGAAGGTGTTGGAGGGTGGCGTCCGTCCCATAGCCGGGTATCTGACCTTCGAGGCACTCTCCGGGGCAGGCATAGGTACCGCCCGTGTCCCTGGACTTTTTCTACCCTTCGATGCTCGTCTCGGGGCACCGGGCGGTCCTGCCCTTCGGGGTGAGTGTCTTATTCTACTTCCCGCTCGTCTTCTAATCCTTGTTGTTTCTTGCAGGTTCTCCGCCAGATCGAGACCAGATGAATCACGCCGAGTGTTTGAAGACAAGGAAGGCCAAAGCGGCCGCTGCTAAAGCCGCACTGGCGAAAGCCAAGAATGCCCCCGCCCCGGAGTCCAACTCCTCGGCTTCTGACGCTGCCCGGCGAACCGCCGAGGGTGAGCAGCACCTGATTGCCACTATGCTGGCTCAGGGTTCCGGGGCCCCTGCTCTTGAAGCTGCCCTTCCACCACCGGCCGTCCCGTCGAAGGCGGCTCCTCAAAAGGGGACGGAGAAGGTCCCCGAAAAGAAACAAAAGAGGGGCCGCGAGGCAGTCTCCACCGGGCCCCTGCTTGAAGATGCCGGCTCCTTGCCATTGAGCCGCCCGGCGGAAGAGCTTTGGAGGGAGATGGCCCTCAAGGCTGGCCTAGAGCTGCCCAGCCGTTCGTCTTCTGAGGCGACCAGCGCTGCCCTGGCAGCCGCTCTTCAGGTAATTCCCCCTTGCTAGATCTGAGTGCGTTTTTCTTTGACGTTCATCCTCTGATCCTTATTTTTCTTCTGTCATCCAGTCTGGGCTCCTTGTCCTTCAAGCTGAAGCTGCCCGGGAGGCCGATCTCAAGGAGGCCAAGGCTAAGGCCGATGCGGCCATTGCTGCGGCTCGGGAGGCCGCCCGTCGAGCCGAGGCGGAGGCTGCGGCCAAGGGGAGGGAGATTGCAGCCCTGCAGGCTGAATCCCGCAGCCAGTTGGCCGGTCTTGAAAGAGCCGGTTTCAAGCTTGTTCCGGTGCTCCCTGCCGCCCAGGACGCCACTCCGGAGTGGTTAGTCGACACCTCCGGTTACAGGAACACCGGGGAGTTCATGGATTCCGCCAAGGATTATTGCGCCGGAGCCTTCGGTGATGTGTTCTCTGCGGCACTGGAGAAGATCCCACCCCGGCAGCGTCTGGCGAGCGGGGTCCGGATTCTGGAGAGCTCCCCCTTGTCCCACAAGTTCCTCTACGAGGTCGGCGACAGCTCCTTCGCCGCTGGTTATAATGAGGGGGTCAAGGCCACCCTTCCCATCTTCTCAAGGCTGCAGGGGGCCGACTTCGAGCTCGCTGCAAATACGGACGACGATCTGCTGCTCCAAGCCTTGGGGAAGTTGGGGAGAGACCAACGGCGGGAGGAAGCCAAGGCTAAAGGGGAAATTCCGGAACCCCCATCCCCCGAGCCCGAGGAAGAGGAGGAGAAGCTGAACCAGGGTGGCAGCCGACCGGGATCCCCCTTCTTTGTGTAATGTAGTTTGTATTTTTCCATTCCAACTTTTGTAATGTCCGGCCGTTAGAGCCGAAGAATAGACATCCTTTCGCCCATAATTGTTCCATGTTCGTGATCTCTACTTGTTACTTTTCTTCCCTTCGTCCTTTGTTGTATGGAAACCCCCTTTGTATTTCGATATTCTCTGTCGCATAGTCTGCGTGGACGTTCGTCTCTGTTCCCCATTTGGTCCGGGGGTAGGGGCGTCTCTTTGCCAAAACCGTGTACACATTTAGTGTGCGGCGCCAGTGTTAAGGTCCGCCTTTGGTTGGTGACACCCGGCGCCGATACTGGCTGCCCCTCCTGCAACAGCATTCCGATGGCAAGACGACGTTCGTCAGGCGTTGGCCAAACAGCATGCCTCGCAAGTGTGGTCATACGCACATCGGAGATTGCCTCAATGCTTGCCAACGACGTTCCTCTATCGTCGCGTGGCATGAACGCTAAAGCTTCGCGCAAGGATGTCCGTCCGTCCTGCGTGTTCATCTGTCATGAAGTGGAAAGGCGACGTTCATCCTCCGTGCACCTCTAATGGACGTGATTTTTACTTCCGGCGCCTTGACACATCTTTACCGCTCACGTGGTATCTTGACAATGGGAAGACGTTCGTCGGTAGTTGCCTTGTTAGTACGCGTCTCGAGTATGGACATATGGGCGTATTCCCCTGAAACAGCGCTCGGTGACGACGTTCGTCTACATTTGCGTGACATGAAAACTGGAGTACTGTAAGACGGACGTAGCCAGTTGACGCGTGTGCCCTCATCCGCCGCCGACGCTAGGGTCAGCCGGGGAATTAAGGAAGCAAGGGAAGGCGAATGTCTTTAAATTCCTCCGAGCCGGTGAGCCCTCCTCAAGGGACGTTCGTGGCACGGTCCCGGATGTCTTTGTGGTGGTTACGCGGCGACAAAATCGAGACGCCTTAAATACCGTGGTAGGTACCGGTACCTAAGCGCCACGTGTCCTGCCTCGGTTGGGGCGATCCCGCGGTGTTGCCTATAAATACCCAGGGTCCAAGTGATCCACTCACATTTTTCCTTACGCTGCACAATTGCCTTCTCTCTCTAGACTTCTCTCTAACCATATCGGAGATCTCGAGCCCCAAAGGTACCGTTCGTTGTCATGTCTTCCGAAAGTCGCTTTGATGATGGATGTTCTTCTGGTGATGATCTGGAGTTTTATGAGCGGGGAATGCCACCCCGGCCTCCCCGTTATAGCCTCAACTTCTCATGCGTCCGGCGTCAAGTTCAACGCCTGACGAACGCTGACAAGCGACTGATCGGCCAATGGTTTTATCCCCCAAGGACCTACGACGACCGGCGTCTTCGGAACCCCATGCGCCATCTGCCCGGCTATGTGGTGGTCCACCTAGATTCGGTGATAGCCGGGCTGAACTTCCCCCTGCACAGCTTCCACTTGGAACTTTTCAGGGCCCTTGAGATTGTGCCTGCGCAGCTCGTCCCTGCCGCTTATCGGATAATCGCTGGCTTCATCATTAGATGCCACAGCGTCGGTGTGACACCCACCGTGGACCTGTTACACCATTTCTTCCGTCTGTCCACCTTCGGACGCACAAGGTATTTGACCCTAATCGCCCGTCCGTCCATGGTTCTGTTCTCGAACAACGCTGGGAATCCAGACGGTTGGGAAGAACGCTTCTTCCTGGCCGGAGTAGGCTCACCGATGCCATTCTCTGATCGGTGGAATGCCTACCCCGTGAAGACGATCCCGCCACCCATGACGGACGAGGAGCTTGGATATGCCAAGCGCATAGCCGGACTTGGCATCCAGAACCTCCGGTTGCTGGTGGCCGAGCCCTTTAAAGCTCAGGCTGGATTAGGTGCGTCCGTTTGTACTTGTATTGTTTTAACCTCTCTTCGCTGTTATGGTTCTGAACGTCTTGATTCCCTTTGTGCAGGAGTTTTTCCATCCACGTCCATCATGCGCCGAGACAATACCGCTCCGTCTACCGCCGGTCGTGGACACAAGGGGCATGACAAGCCGGGGAAGCCGCTCGTCCCTAAGGTCGAAAACCGGGTGACCAGGGCACGGGCTGAGGATGATCTGGGAGCCGGCGCCTCCAAGAGGCTGCGCGTCGAGGGCACTGCCTCCAAGGCCATCATAGTGGCCGACGACTCTGATGGTGAGCCCGGGAGCCCCCTCAAGCGGAAGCCTGCCTCTCGGATCAGGTCCCGTCCTTCTCCCCCACGAACTTCTGACGTCCGTCGTCTCCGGGATGATGATGCCCAGACGGCCAAGGATTCCGACGATGCTCGTCCTCCTTCGCCTCCGGAAACCAATGGGTCCTCCCTTGGTTTGATTGAATTTTCCGGGGTTGGCCCGCGCAAGGAGTCAATGATGCTCTTTGGTCAAACAGCCTCCTCTATATGGTGCGGCCTGAATCTCAAGGTCCCTCAGGATTTTGCTGCTCAGGAGGCACCCGAAGACCTTCTGGAGTGTGGTCAGAGCACTTTGGACAAAGCCGGGCTCTACTTCCACAGGGCCCGGATGGCCTTCGAGCACCAGGGCAGGGACATGGCCAGAGTGCGGGCTGAGTGTGATGCCCTTCTGAGGAACGCTAAAGGCAGGGCGGGAACTCTTCAAGAGAAAGCCGGTGCCTATGATAAGCTTGTTCAGGAGAATGCCTCTCAGAAGGAGCTCCTTAAGAAGCAGGAGGCCGAGCTCGTGGATCTTCGCAGCCGGATGTGGGCCGTAGAGAAAGCCAAGGTGGAGCTTCACCAGACGGGCATGGACAATCATGTCCCTATTTATGAGGCCGATGTTGCCAAAATCAAGGAGTCTGGTTCCATTGCCTTTCAGAAATCCAAGGCTTATACTGGCGCCATCCACACCATGGCCATGAAGTTCCTCCCGCGGCTCGTCGGCGAGTTCCTGGCCACCTGCCCAGATGCTTACCAAGATGGGGTTAAATTGCTCCAGGCCACCCCCACCGGACGTCGTTTCCTTGACGATCTCGCCGATGACACCTACCGCAAAGGTATGGTTGGGCTCGTAGCGGAGAATCTCCCCACGTTCGAGCGTCATTTCGGGGCTCCTTTCGATCCGGAGGCGGCTGGCTTTGATGTTCTGATGGCGGACGCTCATGCGGGGGCCCTCGAGCTGCTGAAGGAGCAGGCGGAAGCCAAAGCTAGTGAAGAATGCAAGCAGGCTCTTTCCAAAGTTCCAGCTCCGGACGTCGATCGAAAGTGATTCTCTGTTCATGACCTTGTACTTGTACAATTTTTCCCATTATTTTCATTGTCTTGTAATTTTCCGGCCAATAGCGCCGAAGAATAAAAAATCATTCTTTGCTCCTTGCTCCTCTGGCATTTCTTTTTTTTTTTTTTTTTTTTTTTTTTTTGGAGTCTTTTAGTCTTCGTTCGTCCTTGGTCCCTGGTCCCACCGGCGTCCCCACTTCGAGGAGACGTTCGGTGTCCGCCGACATCGCAAGGATGAACAGGTTTATCTACATCGAGATTCCCCCCTTTTTTCGTTCGTCCGTGGTCCTTTTAGCCTTACCGACGTCTCTTGCTTCGAAGAGGACGTTCGGTACCCAAGGACTCGCAGGGACGAACAGGTCTACCCTCACGGGTCCCCGACTTTGTTACCCCACGTCCATCGATCCATGGTCGTTTGTGGGATAAACAGGTTTATCTTGGCGGGCTCCCTTGGTTCGTCTAGCCCCCTCCGCGTCTCTACTAACCTCTACACCGAGAGGCGTTCGTCTTCGGCGGTTGGAGAAGATCTGGCACACCCGGGCAAGATTCCCTTCTACATAGGAGCTCCTCTCCTCTTCTCCCCAATTTTTCTTCTTTTTTTTTTTTTTTTTTTTTTTTTTTTTGGTGGAGGCAATCCATACTCTTCGTTCGTCATTGGTCCCTGGTCCTACCGGCGTTCCTACTTCGAGGAGACGTCCGGTATCCGCCGACATCTCAATGAGGAACAGGTTTATCTACATCGAGATTCCCTGGTGCTTCGTTCGTCCTTGGTCCGTGGTCCTACCGGCGTCCCTACTTCGAGGAGACGTTCGGTATCCGCAGACATCACAAGGAGGAACAGGTTTATCTGCATCGAGATTCCCTGGTGCTTCGTTCGTCCTTGGTCCCTGGTCCCACCGGCGTCCCTACTTCGAGGAGACGTTCGGTGTCCGTCGACATCGCAAGGAGGAACAGGTTTATCTGCATCGAGATTCCCTGGTGCTTCGTTCGTCCTTGGTCCCTGGTCCCACCGGCGTCCCTACTTCGAGGAGACGTTCGGTGTCCGTCGACATCGCAAGGAGGAACAGGTTTATCTACATCGAGATTCCCTTCTTTAACGGTCGTTGGCCAGAACAGAATTTCAGAAAAAACAGGGGCCTTATTATTGACGACGTCCGGCCATTTTACATGGTAGTGGGAATAATACAAGGACAACAGCCCCTAACTATTGATAGAACTTCTTCAAGTGCTCTACGTTCCACATCCCGGCATGGTTCCCCTCCAGGGTGTGGAGGAGGAACGTCCCCTGGTTATATCTTCTGATGATCTGGTAAGGTCCTTCCCAGTTCTTCGCCATTTTGCCGCCTTCGAGCGGCTTGCTCTTCTCTCTTTTCCTGATGAAATCGCGTCGGTCGGCCGCCATATACCTTTTCTTTTGCTGTACAGGCTTGGCGTCCGGCCGCACGGCGAGTCTATGGCATATGAGGTTGGGGTCGATGCCCGGCATGTCCTCCGGCCCTCTGGCGAATAAGACCCTGAACCTTCGGAGGACAGCTATGACCCCCGCCCTGATCTCTGGCTCTAGACCTGCACCGATGGACACCTTCCTGTCCGTCGGGTCGTCGAGCTCGACTTCTTCCAGCAGAGTTGCTGGTTCCAGATGAGCGTCCATGTCGGCCTGTTTGGCCTTTTCGGAGATGCTGTTGACCCGAGCCTCCCGCTCGTTGAGCTTCTCCATGGCCTTCGTGTAGCAGGCTCTGGCCATATGCGGGTCCGTACGTGCTACTCCCACTCCAGTGTCGGTGGGGAATTTGATGCATGAATGTCGTACGGAGCATATGGCCCCCAAGTCTTCCAAGCCGGGTCGGCCCAAAATGGCGTTGTGGGCGCACTTTAGGCGGACCACGACGAACGTCATGCTGATCCGGGCAGTGTGAGGGCCGTCGCCGACCTCTACCGGTAAAATGATGGTGCCCTCAGCATCAATGCAATCCCCGGTGAAGCCGGACAGCGGGGTGCGTAGGGGGTGCAGCATGTCCTTCCGGAGCCTCATTCCTTCGAAAGCCTCCCAGTAGAGGACGTTCACACTGCTCCCGGTATCAACGAGGACGCGACGGACGATAGCATCGTTCACGTCCATGCTGATCACCAGCTCGTCTCTGTGCGGCGCCGGTGACATTGGCAGGTCAGCGGGGCCGAAGGTAATTGCCTCGACTCTATTGCGCTTGGTGGGGGGTGCTGATACGGAACCCACATAGAGTGACCTCTCAAATTTTTTCCGCTCGGCGGGTGTATCCCCTGTCTCAGCGCCCCCGAAGATCACCTTGATCTCCAATTTCTTCTTCTTGCCCTTCGGGCCGAGGGATCCCTCCGGACGTTTATCTGCACTTCGATAATCCACGTCCTGAGGTTCTGCCTCGCGCCGATCGTCGCGGCGCCATGTCTTGTGCCTTGAGTTCGGCTTCTGCTGGCTGTTTTTGTTCAGCAGCTGGGTGAACTCGCCCAGGTACCCCTGACGGATCAGCTCGTCGATCGCTTTCTTTAATTGGCTGCAATTATCCGTCAGGTGGCCGGTCCTCTGATGGTATTCACAGTAGGCCGATTGGTCGTGCCCCATATGCTTATTCATATCCTGGGGTTCCGTTAGGAGGCCCTTGTCCTTGATGGCCTCAAAGATTTGGCTCACTGGATAGGCCAAGGGAAAATAGCGGTCGTCCGGCCGCGTTTGACTGTCTCCGGACGGAGCCTTCCAAGGGACCATTGCCCCGTCCACCTTTTTCTTTTTGTTTGGGGGGGAGGGCCCGGTTCCTGGTCCGGGTCCGAGCCTGTCCGCCATCTTCCGTGGGTGGGCCGCGGGAACTCCGTCCCGCTGCCTGATCTCCTCCTCGATGGAGGCATACTTTTGTGCCCGAGCCAAAACCTCGGTGTAGCTGGTGCCGGGATTCCTCCTCAGGTCCCGGTATAGATCCCCTGTGGCCAGCGCACTGGTGAACATGTTGGTGGCCAGACGTTCGTCCAGATCATCGACCTGTAGTACCTCGTCCCTCCACCTTACCAGGAACCTAGCCAGCGGTTCGTCCCGCCCTTGTTTGATGTGGGCGAGAGCCGTGACGTCCTTCCTGGGGGTGGTACTGGCAGCAAACTGTGCCATGAACTGCCGGGAAAGCTGTTCGTATGAGTCAATGGTGCCTGGTCTCAACTGGCCGAACCATTCCTGTGCTGGCCCCCTGAGGGTGCTGAAGAACAATCTGCAGATGGCCTCGTCCGACGCTCCCAGCATGGAGAGGTTCCCTTGGTAGCTTATCAGATGGGCCTTAGGATCGCCAGCCCCATTATACACCAAGTTTCCCGGAGGTCTGCAATCCCGGGGGATCTCGACGCTCATCACCCGTGGGGTAAAGGGTGATGTGAGTGAGAAGGAGGGTGTGGCCGAGCCGACGTCCGCCCGCCTATTCATCTCGGCTATCTGCCTCTCCATGGCTTCCAGCCGCGCGTCCTGTGTGGCCCTTCCGGGGGACACAGGGGGCGCGGCTTCGGGGGGTGACGTTCTGCTGAGCGGCCACAGCATCGTGCGGCCGCCTGAAGATCTGCGCACCTCGCCGTTGGAAACGTCGTCCAACGGCGTTGACCCTTGGGGTCTCGTCTCCCCGCGGGATCTGGCGAGGAACCGATGGCGTGAGAGCCCTGGATGCAGCGATGCTAACCCTGGTTCGCCCTCCCGTCTCACGGGAGCCTGAACCCCCACCTAGCCGCTCGTGGACTGAGGGCCGGTGGTCACTGGATCCCGTCGTATCGTCATACGACTGCATGCGGCGTATGGGAGAGAGGGGCGTTCGCTGGGTGCTTGCAGAGTACACCTGATCTCGGGCCTCCCGCTCGTCCGCCATGCGACGCATGGTGTCTGCGAGTTCCCGCATGAGGCGGGGATCCTGCCTGGCCTCCAGGGGAATGAGGTCAGTGATTCCCCCGTTTCCTCCAGAGGTCCATATCGTCGCGGATAGTTCCGAGTTCTGGCCGCGATTCCGGCGGCTCGACTCCAGACGCTCGGAGAGATCACGCTGGTTGTTGCTTCCTGACATCGTGTTTGCTGTAGGTAGACTTAGTAGCTGTTTGGGAGAGTTTCTGGAAACTTTTTGCTCAGTTTCCCACAGACGGCGCCAGTGTTGAGGTTTATCCTTCAACCCTTGGACCCAACACGTAAGCCCAAAGATTTCGAGTGGAGTGAGTGTGTGGATATCTAGCCCAACAACTATCAGATGGATCAGGAAAACAAAAGTAATAGCAGGCAATGTAAATAGGTATTATTAACTTCGTAATAACTCCCCTAAGTACAATCTACTTGCTAAAAAGGCACGTCGGCCGTTCGTCTTACAAGGCACTTAGAAATGCTGCGAGTAAGAATGCTGAAGCTAGTATGCTAAGAATAGAAAGTTGCCAACCCTTTACAATGAAATAAATGCTTCTATTTATACCCGCCAATGGGCAGGTGGCTGTAGTGACGTGGCAGCCTGTGGACCGCTGGTGTCCCAACTACCCAATCTTTAGCATTAAATGCACTTCCCGCCAGAATCTAGGTTTCCCGCCGGATCAGTGGGGACGTTCGTCCACCCAGGAAGTGAGTTGGATTGCTCCAAGTGATCCCCAGGTGATACCGGCTGTTCGTCTCCTGGCCTTGATAGATACTCACCATGTGGACTGGGTTTCCTCCGATGACTACAGGCTTGCTCTGGGGACGTTCGTCGCCATCCCTGGTGGCCCGTGGTTCTGCTCCTTGTCCCTGTATAGACGTTCGTCGGGATGAGCTGCTGGGCCTGAGCCCCCCAACACCAGACGTTCGTCCATCCTCAAGGAATATGGGCCTGTGGGCTGGCCTAGTGTTCTAACTGGACGTTCGTCTGGCAAAATGGGTTAGTGGGCCGGACCTCGGCTTGGGCCCTTAACCCAACAGATAGATAGATAGATAGATAGATAGATAGATAGATAGATAGATAGATAGATAGATAGATAGATAGATAGATAGATAGATAGATAGATAGATAGATAGATAGATAGATAGATAGATAGATAGATAGATAGATAGATAGATAGATAGATAGATAGATAGATAGATAGATAGATAGATAGATAGATAGATAGATAGATAGATAGATAGATAGATAGATAGATAGATAGATAGATAGATAGATAGATAGATAGATAGATAGATAGATAGATAGATAGATAGATAGATAGATAGATAGATAGATAGATAGATAGATAGATAGATAGATAGATAGATAGATAGATAGATAGATAGATAGATAGATAGATAGATAGATAGATAGATAGATAGATAGATAGATAGATAGATAGATAGATAGATAGATAGATAGATAGATAGATAGATAGATAGATAGATAGATAGATAGATAGATAGATAGATAGATAGATAGATAGATAGATAGATAGATAGATAGATAGATAGATAGATAGATAGATAGATAGATAGATAGATAGATAGATAGATAGATAGATAGATAGATAGATAGATAGATAGATAGATAGATAGATAGATAGATAGATAGATAGATAGATAGATAGATAGATAGATAGATAGATAGATAGATAGATAGATAGATAGATAGATAGATAGATAGATAGATAGATAGATAGATAGATAGATAGATAGATAGATAGATAGATAGATAGATAGATAGATAGATAGATAGATAGATAGATAGATAGATAGATAGATAGATAGATAGATAGATAGATAGATAGATAGATAGATAGATAGATAGATAGATAGATAGATAGATAGATAGATAGATAGATAGATAGATAGATAGATAGATAGATAGATAGATAGATAGATAGATAGATAGATAGATAGATAGATAGATAGATAGATAGATAGATAGATAGATAGATAGATAGATAGATAGATAGATAGATAGATAGATAGATAGATAGATAGATAGATAGATAGATAGATAGATAGATAGATAGATAGATAGATAGATAGATAGATAGATAGATAGATAGATAGATAGATAGATAGATAGATAGATAGATAGATAGATAGATAGATAGATAGATAGATAGATAGATAGATAGATAGATAGATAGATAGATAGATAGATAGATAGATAGATAGATAGATAGATAGATAGATAGATAGATAGATA